GCACACCGTGGCATGAACATGCCCACAGTTGCACATTAAATAAATAAATAAATAAATAAATAAATAAATAAATAAATAAATCAAACAAGCATTTTTCAAAGGAAGTTGATAATGTGGCTGAGGACATGGCCTGGTGGATAAAGGGCCTGACTTGTGAGTGTGAGGAACTGAACTCAGTGCTTCAGAGTCAACGGGGAAACCGGTTAGGAGTTGCAATCCCAGTGTTCAGCAGTTTCCCTCCCTTCCCTCCCTCACTTCTCCTCTCCCTTCTCTTTCCTCCCCTCCTCCTCCTCCTCCTCCTCTTTTTCTGTTTTTGAGACAGGCTTTCTTGTAGTCCAATCTGGCCTTGAACTCACAATCTATGCAGCCAAAACTGCTTTTGAACTCCTGGTCCTCCTACCTTCATCTGAACAAAAAGTTTAACATTGTCACTTTCTTCAATTAATTGCTTTAGAACCTGAACGGGTTTATTTGAAAGGATTCAGGCTGCAGCTCTTGTTCCTTTTTAGGAGTTTCAGCTTTGTGTGTATGTCTGTGTTGAGTGAGCAGAACGCTGAAGAACACCAGTCCAGTCCTCGAGTTTTGTCCTGGTGAACGGGCCTTTGAGCATATGACAGTGCTGTGGCATTCAGCCTGGCGGGTGCGCTTTTATTGGAAGGTCAGAAGTACAGTTATTTGGATGCAGTGTGTGGTGACACTGGGCATGACGCAGGCCTCAACAAAGAGGAGTTTGTCCCTTAGTAAAGAATTGGAGGAATCTGAGTTGGTGAGCCAGCTGCTGCAGGAATAGCTGCCTGGACCTCCCTGAATGTGTTCTGTGGCTGCACAGCTCCTGGCTCATGTGCTCAATCCTGGTCTCAGAGATAAGCCCGCCCGTGTGAGCCCATGAGCCTCGGTCAGTCCCCGCGGGAATAATGGGGGAGTCGTAAGATATCAGCGAGGAGAGCTGGCAGAGAAGGGTGAAGGGTTTGTCCAAGGCATGTCCGCCAGAGGGAGGTGGCAGGACAGCTGCTGTCAGAAAAGTGCAATTCCATTTCACAAATACCTGCGGGCACTCTGACTATTGAGGTGAAAGCTTCATGACAGCTGGGCCCTTCCTTCATCTCAGGAAACCCCCGTGACCATGTTATAATGTGGAAAATACAACGCTGAGTGGAGGAAGCCAGGCACAGAAGCTCAGCAGCTGTCGCTTCGACTGTCACTGTCCAGGAGAGCATCCAGAGATTTAGGGCTGAGTTGGGAGGGATGACTGTGTAACAGGTAACAGTTTCATGATAGAGTCATGGGCTGTGCTAGAACTGCGTGGCGGTGATGGAGATACAGTGTTTAGACAAAGGGACCAATTACATTTTATTCATACTTTACCATAAAGCATCTTTCTCTGAAAATAATTGTGTTTTGTGCATGTATGTATGTGAACCCACTCACTGGTGTATGTGCACACATGTATTGGCCAGAGGTCAATTCAGCTGTCTTCCTCCACCTTATTTTTCCAGGACAGGGTTTCTCACCAATTTGGAGTCCACCATTCTGGCTAGTCTGGCTGGCCCAGAAGCCCTCGGGATGTGGCCATCCCCTCCCCATCGCATGGGGTGTGGGGGGCAGTTAGCAGGTGTGCTTCACCACACCCAACCTTTTATGTGGATCTGGACTCAAATCCTCAGTTTGCGTGGCTCCCTGGCCTACAGACGACTGTTGGAGCCTTGCATTTTTCTGCTCTCTCCTTTCCCTTTCCTTATTCTTGTTTTCTCTGTCTTTCTATACCTGTCTCTTTCTATCTCTCCTCTCTCTCGGTTTCTGTCAGTCTCTGTCTCTGTCTGCCCCCCCCCCCCCCTCTCTCTCTCTCTCACACACACACACACACACACACACACACACAGTGCTGGGGCTCAAACTCCAGGATCTGGCACATCTAGGTCAGTACTCTGCCACGGAGCTAGACCTCCAGCCCCAGATGGCTTTGCGATTACAAAGGAGAGGGAAGTGAATGTGGCAGCCGTAACCAGCTTACCAGCTGGTCACATCACCTATGGGACAGATTGACACTCCGGGGCTGGTCACATCACCTATGGGACAGATTGACACTCCGGGGCTTCTGGTGGGGTGTATCAAAGTCACATCCATTATGTAGCATTCTTGCTAAGAAAACAGTCTGCATTGAATCGTGGCTCTGATAACAGTCTTGGCTGGCAACTTGCTGAGATCCAGAGTCCCTGGGGAGACAGACTTTGGCCACGCCTGTGGTGTTATCATGACTAAGCTAATGAGGTGGGAAGAGGCATCCACTCTGGGTGGCACCATTCCCTGGGATGTATCCTCCACTGCACAAAAAGAATCAAGTGAGCTGAGCACAGCATCCATCCCTTTCTGCGTCTTCACCGCAGATGCTGCTACCACTGTGGCTTCCCTCAAGCACCCATCCCTCTCTGCTCTTTTCCCTCAGATGCTTCTGCCTCTGGCTTCCCTGTGTGATGGCTTACAACCCTGAACTGTGAGCTGTCATCAACTACTTTTGTTACCTTAGCACAGCAACAGGAAAGGGAAGAAATGGAGAAGCACTGAGAATGTTGGTCAGGCTTTCTGTTTCTGTAACCAAGAAGACAGCTTGAAGGAGAACAACTTCATTTGGGCTCTGTCTGGCTTTGTTGATTCTAGGCCTATGGTGAGGCAAAACATTGTAAGGATCTATGGAGGGAGAGGATCTCCCAGAGACAAAAAACAGAGAAGAGAGGACTAAGGACTCTGCATACCCTCTGAGATCTACTTCCCCCAGCTAGGCCCCGCCTCCTAAAGATTCCACACCCCAATGCTATCATATTATGAATCCACTCAGGGATGAATCCACTCCTTTGGTCGGAGCCCTTAAAACCCAGTCACTTCACAAATGCCTTCTAGCTGGCAGCCAAGCACTTCATACTCAGACCACAGCAACCAGCATGTTAGACATCCCACAAAGAAGGCCAATGCTTGCTCTTAAATCCCGTCACTGTCATGAAAATGAGTGAGGGGCCACTCTAGAGGGAAGAGAGTGAGGGACAGATGGAGACTATCATCTCGGAGGAGAAAACTCACAGAGGTGTGCGCGGGCTATCTGGAGGTGTGTTATATGGGTGATAAATGAGATGCTGGCATTGTGTCCTGGTAGATTTGGTGGTGAGTGCATGCACATGCATGCATTTGTGTATGTGAAAGTGAGCTCACATGTGCCATAGCATGCATGCTGAGGTCAGAGGACCTCAGCGGTCAGTGCTCGCTTTCCACCCTGTTTGCCGTTCCTTTCCCACTATGTGAGCCAGGAGCTGGTCCCTGAGCTTCCCCAGGTCTTCTCTTGTCTCAGTCTCATGTCTCCTAGGAAGAGCATAGATGCTTGTGTTACTTGGTCCAGCTTCTGACTAGGATCTGGAGATTTGAACTCAGGTCCTCACCCTTGCCTGACAAGCACATTTACATGGAACTAGCTCTTCAGCCCTTGTATTAAATTCTTAATTATGATTATTACACTTTGGCTATGTAAGGAAATATCTTCATTTTTCAGAAATACACTGTAAAGCACTTAGATAAAAAGAAGGTTGGGTTTAAGCAACTTTCAAGTATTTCAGAAATCTGTGTGTGCAGGTGTGCATGCGCACACACTTTTTACACACTTACATGTGTATTAGTTCACTAAAAACTAAGATTTAATCACAGCATAAACAAGGCCTAGTCTGCATTGTATTTAAACAGAGAGATTAAAAGTCAATTTTACAGATTTTAATAATAGAATCAGGTTGCAAATTACTGACATGAAAGGAGCCGTGTATTGATTTGGGGGTGAACTTTTCCAACCCCATTAATGTGACACGTTCACATGACTTTTGGGTTTTGTCGACCAACACAATTGTCACGTTTGTAAAACACTTCAGAGGTTTCATGGACTTTCCCACATGTGACTTTTAACTCTGGAATATTCAAATCATTCCTTTGAATGCTTTTTTCTTTCCACCTCACACGTCACCTGTATCCACTCTCCCTCTTTTGCATGAAGCAGCCTGGCTTCGACAGGTTCTCACACGCCGAGTGTCTTGCTTTCCCTTGAGCAGGCCTGTCTTTCCTGAGCGCGGCACACGGCTTTCATTTCCTCTGCAGCCGTAGGACAATTCAGATTGTCCTACTCCAGTTTTTAAAAGTAACCCAGAAATCTCAGGAACACCCAGAGTCTTGTCAATCATAATCTCAGTCCAAGGTGTGAGGCTTCAACATCACCTAGCTCCACTGGCCCACCCTAAGTGCAAGGGATTCTGGGAGGTGTAGTCTTCCTGTGGGATCAGCGATGAACATGAAATCACACCTGTCAGGAGCCAACACTCTTCAAATGTATATGTAGGCTTAACTCAGTGGCATATACCTTTAATCCAGCCTTGGGACACAGAGGCAGGTGAATCTCCATGAGTTCCAGGCTAGTCTGGTCTGCATAGTGATACCCTGTCTCAAAAAAACCCAAAACCTAAAACAAAATGTACATGTGTGCATGTCTGTTGTGTGCTGTGTGTAGGCATGCAGGCCACAGCACACATGTGGTGGTGAGGGGACAACTCTGTGGAGTATCTTCCGGGATTGAGCTCAGGCCATCAGACCAGCATTGTTGCTGCAGCAGGTACTTGTGTGGCCCCCGTTGCTCTTGAGACAGTTTCTCATGCAACTCAGCCTGGCCTTTGTCCTCTAACTCACGGTGCGGCTTCATCCATTTCAGAGTGCTGGGATTATAGGCATATGCCTCCATTTTTATGCAGTGGTGGGGAATCGAACCCAGGCCTCATGCACGCTAAACAAGCACTCTACAAGTTGAGCTACTGTCCCAGCTCTGAATTTGAGGTTTTAATTGGTCTTCACCCTCCTGTTCCACTTGGATTCAGCAGTGCAAAGCCTCTGGGCTTCAAGGCAAGAAAACAGGAAGAGCTGTCCTAAATTTTCTGAGATCCTGTTAAAAGTTGTTGATTTGAGTTTTGTCTTGTTGTTGACAGGTGTGGATTTTTCTCTGCCATCCTCTGGCTCTTCGTCCCTCTCTGGCCTTCACTGCCCTGTGAACATGTTGGTGATTCTGGCCTTCATCATCGTCTTCCACATCATCTGTGCGGCACTCCTGTTTATTTCCACCATTAACAATGTGAGTTCCTATTCTCGTCAACCACCCCGAAGTCACGGGGCAGCAAAGACCACAGAGCAGGGTGGAGAATGGGGAGGGTGTGACTGTGATCTCTGGGTGTCCTCTCTGCTAAGGCATCTCCCCAACCCAGGCCTGGGTGCTCTCATCCTGGGCACGGATGGAACTTTAAGAGCATCCTGTGCTCAGGTTTGGCTGAGGCTAGCCTGGGCTAGCTGGTGTGATGCGTGTCTTCCAGCTGTCCCAAGGATAAGTCCTGCCCTCTGCCATTCTCAGCCTTGGCACCATTGCCATTCAGAGCTAGATAATTCTTTCTTTCAGATTTATTTATTTATTTATTTATTTATTAAGCATACAATGTACTGCTGGCAAGGAAGGCACCAGGTCTCATTACAGATGGTTGTGAGCCACTGTGTGGTTGCTGGGAATTGAACTCAGGACAGCCAGTGCTCTTACCCTCTGAGCCATCTCTCCAGCCCCCTAATTCCTTTTTTCTACTCAGTGTTTTTATTTTATTCTTTAAATTTATTTATTTTATTTTGTGTATTTGGATGTTCTGCCTACATGCCTGTCTATGAACCACTTTTGAGTGCCTGGTGCCCTAAAGGGGTCAGAAAAAGGACTTTGGACCCCTGGAACTGGAGTTACAGATGGTTGTGAGACACCATGTAGGTGCAGGGAATTGAACCTGGCTCCTCTGCAAGAGCAGCAAATGTCCTCAACCACTGAACCATCTCCCCGGCTACTATTTTGCTTTTAAAATTAGGATACAAAATATGTTTTCTAAGGTTTTGCCTCTTTTGCTTTAGACAAGGAGTTAATATCTTAAATACATAAAAAACTACAAAATCTGCTGGGTAGTGATGGCACATACCTTTAATCCCAGCCTCAGGAGGCAAAGGCAGGTGATCTCTGTGAGTTAGAGGCCAACCTGGTCTACAGAGTGAGTGTATAAGTATATACACACTCATACTCACACAAGCAGTCACGTGCACACGCACACGCATGCACACAAGCACACTCACACACACAACCAGTTGATAAATGGACCAACAAATTGAACAAATAGTTTTCAAAGATAAAGAAATACATGTAGCCAGCCAGTAAATATTTTTTAAAGTGTTCAACATCCTTAGCCATCAGGGCAATGCAAATTAAAGCTCCTATAAGATTCCATCTCACCCCTATCAGAGTGACTGTCATCAAGAAAACAAATGACAGCATTCTCTTCGGTGGTGTAGCTGCTGGCAAGCTGCCTGTGTGCCAGCAAATAACCATGACCCATGCTCACACAGACACCACCAGATAACTCAGTGGGAAAGACACGACAGCGTGATGGCACTTGCTGGAGGAAAATGGGTTCTGTGAGAGTGGAGGAGGAGGAGACAGTGATGCGGGCGAAGGGCCCCAAACACATTGTATACATGTATGAAATAGTCAAAGTATTTTTTTAGGACAAACAACAACCCACTCAAAGGTAAGGAGGTAAAGAGGGAGCATGGCAGGACATGCGAGGTGCAAGAGAAAGGATGCTATGGATGTGGGCGTAGCTAAGGGCGGAGCAGGAGGATGGAGGAAAAAACGGAAAGGAGAAGCAGGGAAAACAAACTTATTTTGACAGTGGCAGAGTGACACCTAATGCTGTGTGTCCTGATTGTTTTTTAAATAAGGTAAAATTTAACTAAAATTAGCACTGCCACTCCCCTAACCATACTACACACCCAGAAGGTGTGTTCTCAAAGGCCTATATCCTACCACAGGGCTGCTTGCACACCCATGATCTCTGCCGCTCTATTCACGGTCGCTAATGGCATGATCATTCATGCCAAGGACATCTTGCACCTTGCAGTGGTCTAGCAACATCCCTGGCCTTCATCACTAGGTTGTGATCCACTCATAGTCGAAGGGATGTTTTCTCCAGATGTTCATAGCTGTCCTGCAGGAAACAAAATCAGCCTGGATGACCAATCCAGCCACCTCCTCCGTGTCCCCTGCATCTTCTGATTAGCCAGGCTCTGTGTTACTAACCAAGCACTGTGTTCCTAGCCAGGCCCTGAGTTACTTGCCCACTTACAGACTCCCCATCAAATTTCCTGAGTGTAACTTTCTAAACTCTCCACAGGCCCCTGACATATAACTTGTTCCTTCAGGGTCCAGCTGGCAGCTGTATTAGCAAGGGAGTATTTGATAGTCCCTTGCCCCAGGCAGGAGGTGATATTTCTAATGGAGACCTGGTCTTGTCCCCAATGCCTGGCTTCCTCTGGTCATTTCAAACTACAGAGACTGTTAAGAGGAAGAAAACTGCTCAGAAGGCCAACCAGTTGGGAATCTATAAGAGTGTGTGTGTGAGGTGTGTGTCTGATATGTCTGTGTGTGTATTTGTATTGAGTATATCTATATGATATGTATGTGTGTGTTTATGTGTGGTATATGTGTAGCTATCTGGTGTGTGTATGTGTGGTGTGTGTCTACTATGGTTTATCTCTGGTGTGTGTGTGTGTGTATCTGTCTGATATATGTAGTATGCCTCTATTTGGTGTGTGTGCGTGTGTGTTTGTGTGTGTGCGCGCACATGCTGTGTGTCTGTCTGCTGTGCGAGCGTTGTGTATGTGAGCTTTAGATGGACTGACATGAGCGGAGTGGTCCAACAGCAGCGTTCACACTAGAGAGGTCAAGAGCCCCAGAGCGGCTAAGTCCACAAGGCCGGATGCCACACTGAAGTGTGGAGAAATGGAGAACAGGTCATCAGCCAGTAATGGATGGCTGAAGACACTGCATTCCCATGGCAGTGAAGGATGGAGGCAGTGACAGACAGCATCACTCATGGAGAAAAGCACCTGCACGCACGCACACACACACCACACCAGACAGACACATACATGAACTGCACTGCCCTTCCTCCAATGTCCTCCCATCCAGGCCCCCAGCTCGTTGGTTAGATAGCACTGCCCCAATGCGGGGGTGTCTGTTTTCTCCCATTACTCTCCCATGTCAGCTCTCTTGGGAAATCCGTCACAGACTCCCAGAGGTGTGATTAGCCTCTAGTCATCCCTTAGTCTAACCAAGTGGACAGCCACATTCCTGAATCCCGAGAGCTGGTGTGCACTGCGCACATGGCCCCCAGTGCTGCCTGCATATTTACCTCCTGGTTAATCACAACAGTGGCACCATTAAGTCTTACATTTGACACTCCAGCGATCTCCTTGGCAATTTAGCCTTCTTGTGTGCATCATCTCGGCCTATCCAGGAGGCAGGGGCTTGCCTCTGATAGCTCCAAGGCTCCCAGATGGGACTGAACCTTCAGTCAGTTCTGGCCCTTGCCAGAATGTACACTGTAGTAAGAGGTGGAGCGAGGACTTGAACCATCCCAGAGGCTCCTCGTTAGGCTCTGCCGGAGGATGTGAGCAGAGCCTCCTCGAGGGTCTTGCTGAGCTGCTGAGTGGCCCAGGCTGCGGTCACATAGATGTGTTGATTTGAAGTGTTTGGAGTCTCCAAGGAAAGGGCCTACAGTGTGAAAAACATAAACTGAAGGTTCTTCTAGAGTGTGTGTGTGTGCGTGTGCACGTGTGTGTGTCTTTCCTGCAGCTAGTCCTTTAGGATCCCAGAGATTTCTCAGACTTAGTGAAAGGGTTGGATGGGCACAGAGGAGGGGTACGGGGGGAGTGCTGGAATGCGCTCCCACACCCAGGTGTTTATATTAGCATGGCACCTGGATGATGGACAGAGGTGTGCCAGCCGGTGAGTCAGCCTGTGTTTGGTATGTACTTGAAATTGTGCTTGCCCTTGAGGCTGGATGTAAGTGGGAACACGGGGGTGTATGTGGGCCCAGTGGGCGGAAGGAGGCACCCAGCCTAGGAGGCGGGCCGTCAAGGGTAAGGGGCAGGAACAGAAGTGCAAGGGGAAATAAAGGCTTGGGGCCAAGGCGGAGTCTCCTCCGCTCATCGCAGGATGCCCCCCTTTTCATTTCATTTTAATTTGTTTATTGTTTGAATGTTAAAAAAATTTAAGCATTTCTATTTTTCATTCCTTGCTTGCAGGGGGCACATGTGTGGAGGTCAGAGGACAACTTTCTGGAACTGATTCTCTCCCTCCACCATGTGGATCCTGGGAATAAATCAGGTCACCGGGCTCAGAAGCAAGAGCCTTTCTTCATCCCTGAGCCTTCTTGCCAGGCCTTGGATACTTTTCTGAATTGATTTTTAGGGTTAACATACAGAGTAATGGGTTTCCTCGTGGCACCGTCATACAGGTGTGACGTCATCCTTTGTTCTCATTGGCTCTTCTCTTCCAGCTAGTTCCTTCTTCCCCAGTGAGCCCCTTCGGCTGTCTGATCATGTGAATTCCATTAACTTCTATATCCCTCCTTTTTAAAGTCTTCTCCCAGGCTCTGACCCCAGTCCTAGTCCCATGGCCTGTAAGCACACACATAAATACACACACATACACAGTTGTGAATCTAGTTCTTCATCTAAGAGAAACCATGAGTGTGGTATCTCCTTGAGCCTGGTGTGTTCACCCATTTCCTGCAAATGTCATGGCTTTATTTCAGTTCCATTTTGTACATGTGCCACATTTCCAGCATCCAGATGTCCAGCCTGGTTCCATTCCCTTGCTACTGCAGCAGGCTGTCCCTTGGCGTCATCCTTTCTTTTACACATTGCCCCTGCCATTCTGGTAGAACTGGTCTCCATTTACTCCGATGGCTTTGCTAACTCAGTGTTTCCCCCGACACGTCATGAGAACACGGGCCACCTCAGGTCCTTCTGAGGACTTGCAGCCTGGCATCCCAAGGGACTCTGCACAGACTCAGAACTTACCTGAGGCCTCTTGACTAGGAATGTGCACTTGAATGAAGTCCCCAGGAGACTCTGAGAAGGGCCCACATTTACTCCTCAGGTCAGCAGCACTGGGGTCGGTCTGAGTCGTTAACCAGCAGCTCCTGTTGCCTTTACAGGCCTGGTGGGTTGGAGAAGACTTCTCAGCGGACATCTGGAGAGTGTGCATCAACAATACAAACTGCACAGAGATCAACGACCTGAGTGGCAGTGATGGGTTCACAGGTGAGCGGAGCTTTGGTGCCCCCCTAACAGCCCCAGGCAGACCCAGGCAGGACCACCTCAGCAGACCTAGGGCGCTGCGCTTGCTCTCTGTCCCTGCACGTCATGCTGACATGCGCCCTGGGAAGAGTCTGCTGTGGTGGTAACCAGGGTCAGTCAGGACAGCCTCTGCTGTTTGTGTTCCTTGCTCTCCATGTGGGATTATTTCCATGTTATTGCAGGAATCTGTGTCCTGCCAGCTAAATTCAGCCCAAGGCCTGTTTGGTATGGCCCAGGAGCTAAGGATGGTTCTGACATCTTAAGAGTTGTGAAAGGAACAACCCCCCCCCCAAAAAAAAAAGAAGAAGAAATGTGACCAGAAGCTTGGATTATGTATTGCCTGAGTCTTTGCTGAATAAAAAGAAAATCCTGCCAGCTCAGACTTTTTCCACACATAAATTTATTTCCATATGTTAATTCATTCCGGTCCTACCATCAGTGGTAAACTGGTGTCTAATGAAAGTGGGAGAAAATGCTAGACTAAAAGCCAGAGACCCTCGGTGAAGTCTGACCACACTGGCTGCATCAAAGGGCCTGGCACACACGTGGACATCAAAGGACAATCCGTGAGAGTCAGTTCTCTCTGCCTTCCATAACTCAGGTTGTCTAGCCAGGTGGCGGACGCTGTAACCCGCTGACCTCTCTCCAGCCCGTCCGTCCTCGGTTCTCTTTGTGTTAAAACAAAAACATAAGCACTCTACATGCAGTTGTAGCTGTGCGTCTGAATCTGCAGGACTGGCTCTGAGATGCCCTCTGCCCCTCCCCCAGGATCCCAAAGGATGTAAAATGAAACAAATTTACATGCAACCTATACCTGCCCTCCTCTATGCTTTGGTTTCTAGATGACTTATGACATCGGATACAATCGCTGTATGTCATTTCATCTGTGTGGATCTGGTCTGGAACATGGCAAATTCAAATTTTGCTTTCTGGAACTTTCTGGACTCTCCCCCAATCCACATACCTCAAAAATGGTTGTTGAGTCCAGGAATGCAGAAGCTGTGCACATGGAGGGCTCTTAGCAGGGGCTGTGAGATGCTAACCCTGTGAGTGAGCCGGTTCCTGAGGCCTCCAGGAATGCAGAAGCCACAGCAAGGTGACACACACACACACACACACACACACACACACACACACTGAGTTTCTGCTCTCCTGCCTTGCTGAGCCTCGCCCTCACTGACAGCTAGCCGCCAGTGGCACACTTTGCAATCCAATGCCAAGAAAGCCTATGCTAAAAGTATAGAGTCATTTTCCTCCCAAAACCAGTTTCTACATTTGCCTCGTCACCAGGCATGAAGCACCTGGGGCACTTGCTAAAAATACAGATTCTAGGCACCCACCCCAGAGTAACAGCAGCTCAAACAAGCCATTCTTGGTGGCTCCGTGGAAAATTTAATAAGTGATGTTCAGAGACACAGGGTCACAACCTTGGCCCACTTTGAAATTCCCCAGGAGACTCTAGAAGCCCCCAGATGAGTGTTCCGGTTCTTTTTGTCTCAGTGAAGTTTGATAATAGATTTTAGAACAGGGCTGTCATTAACAAACATGGGAATATACACTTCTTAAGGGCTCCTGGGCTCAATGAGTTTTGACAATTTTATATACTCCTTCCTAGCAAGCCGCCATTGAAAACTAAGTAGGAAACATTCTTAACACCCCACAAGTTCCGTCTGCCCGTTCCTCAGTTCCTACCCAGGTAGCCCTGCCACACACACCCTGCTCCCGCAGCTTTCTTGCACCTGAGGAGTGGAGTCAGGCGATGCCTTTGTGCTGGAGAATATGTTTGTCCCCCAGGGAGCGGAGCCAGGCGTTCTCTGCTGGCCCCTGACGTGCATACAGCTGGGATGCATTAAGTTCCACTGCTGTGAATTTCTCGTCGGGCCTCTGCGAGCGGCGCTCCCTCCAGCCATCCTCAGGCAAGCAAGGAAGCTGTAGTTTGAGCTCCGGGGCTGTACTTCTGTTCCTGAGCCAAACAGGTCAAGTTCGACCCAGAGAAGGCAGAAGTCAGAGTTCTGGCTCCATCTTCTGGCCAAATTGGTATTTTGGTCAAGTGCCTGGCTGGACACTAGAGGGAGCTGGGCGCAAGATTCCACAGCAGCGGGAGCCTTCTGCTGGCTAGGTGTATCCAATCTGCGACCCGCAGCCCAAAGCTAGGGTTGAGGGGGCCCAATCAATGCTGTGAATTTCCTTAAGACTGTGCGGATCTCAGTGTGGTTTATAGACGGCAGTATTGTGTTGCCGTGTCCAAAGGTTGGATGGACATGCCAGACTGTAGGCAGTCCGGGGACCCCTCTGTGATGCCTCGGTCCTCAGATATGTCTTCGCCTTCTGCCCACAGATTACTCCATCATGCAGGCCGTGCAGGCCACCATGATCCTCTCCACCATCCTCTGCAGCCTCTCCTTCCTCATCTTTCTGCTCCAGCTCTTCCGCCTCAAGCAGGGAGAGAGGTTCATCCTAACCGCCATCATCCAGCTCATGTCCTGTAAGTGAAACTGGAAGCAGTCTCTACTGCCCGCCGCAGAAACAAAAGTAGAGAACCGAATCTTTAAACCATATGTTAATCCAGTAGCTGGCAGTCTTGGGAGCCAGAGCAAAGCGGGCTTTCTGGTCCTTTCCCCGGGCTCCTTCTTGCTGGGTAGCTCCTGTTTCCAAGCCTCCCCTTTCCCTCTTCATCAGCTCTCCTGCAGGCACCAAGGCCGCCAAGCCTTGCATTTCTTCTCAGTAGCCGATTTGGATGACATCTAGAGTTAAGGTTAACTCAGAACAAGCAGACCATTAGCAGCAGGTACAAGCAGATTCCGTCCTGCAGAAAGGAGCACACGCATGCTCTTCTTATGTAACTTATGCTGTGCCTGCATTGTGTCCCCATCAAAATGACTGGAGGAGAGAAGTCGGGGAACAGCCAGAAGGGAGAAGCGAGCCACACACTTACTATGGAGGAGTTTGGTTTTAGTTGGGGGTAAGGGAAGGTGTCCCCGAAGCATGAAGCCTGAGCGTGGGTTTTATGAGCACGACAACCACAATTTACAGTGTGTTGTCTGGGTACACAGCGGAAGGAGCAGTGTGCCAGGTAGAAGCCTCGGATGAAGAGCCCGAAACTGTGAGGGCTAGAATGTGCAGGCTCAGACCAGACGGGCTCTCGGAGGCTGGGGAAGGGACTTAAGGTCTGAATCTTAAACTGGTGGGAATATATTACCAAGTGTTAGGCTAGTTCCAAGTTACACCATGGTCTGCAATATATCTGACCCCTGTCTTGGTTCCTGACAGGTTTATGTGCCATGATCGGGGCTTCCATTTATACAGACCGGCGCCAAGACCTTCACCAACAGAACTACAAGGTCTATTACCTGATGCAGGAAGGCAGCTATGGCTACTCTTTCATTCTAGCCTGGGTGTCCTTCTCCTTCACTTTCATCAGTGGTCTCATGTATATGATCCTGAGGAAGCGCAAGTAGGCTTCGGAAGGCCAGCCTCTCTCCCCACAGTATGGCATACACGTTCACATAACCATTTTGTATATAATCATTTTTGTGGTTTTTCTAGCAAACATATTGTTTCCTTTAAAAGCTTTTATAAAAAAGAAGAGAGAGAGAAAGAGGAGTTTCTGCCTTCTTGGAGTCTGAGACCAGACCACAAAGGCTGGCATTCAGAATGCAAGCCCACTGAGAGTCTCAGCAAGGCCCAGCAAGATCCAGCAATGTGGAATCTGCAGGATGCTTCTCCCCAGTGGACCTGGGGTGGGGTGTGGGCAAAGGTGGAAAAAGCCTGTTTTTGGGCACAGGCTCTCTGTAGGTTTCTGCCTTGCCCCTCTCCCCCGGCCCCTTCCCTCTGCCCACTCCACTCTGGCAGCCAGAGGTGGGATGATGAGGGGCCCGAGTGAGGAGTACATATCCTTAGATATTAACCCCTAGTTCATGTAAGCAGAGGGCAAAGACTAGCCCTGGTTTCGGTCTGTCCGGGACCCAGAGCCCCAGACCCCCTGCGGTGAGTTAGGTCATCATGCAGACTTCCTGACAGTCGCCTGTCTACCTTAAGGATAGTGACCCTTAACCTAGGTGTCATGTTGAGTCTCCGTAGGTAATTCCTTAGGGCATCTGTTACATGCAGAGTCTCAGGTCCACTTCGAAGACCCTCAGAATCCATCAAAGGGGTGAACCTGTATGTCTGAATTTCCGATGGTCTCCCTGCAATATCCTTAGATGCACTGAAACTGGGGATAAGAGTCCTAGAGCCAGGGGAGTAGAGTTGCCCTGTAAATGTTAACAATCTCATCACACAAAAGACGGCCCCACTGCCAGCCACATCTTGGCCCCCACTAGCTTCTCTCACAGCTGGTTATATCTGGGCCGCTTGTGCCGTACTCCCAGGCCATAAGCCTCCATCCACGAGGAGGACTGGGCAGCCTCCTCCCTGCCCTGTCCTTCCTGCCCTTCTTTCTAACGTGGGTGCCTCCATTGGCCCCTGTTTCTGGAGACTCAGAAGATCTGTCTTCCATCCATTCATCTACCTATCATTCAACATGAATGGGTCTTGCCACATGTCAGGTGCAAAGGTTACCTTTCAAACCATTCCTCATGAGACTCGGGCCAGTGAAGAACACACCAGAACCACTCAGAAACACTGCCACCTGTGATGGAACAGCAGCGACGCCACCAGTCAAAACCTCCCGGGGCGAGAGGAAGCCCACTCTGCATGCCTGCCTTGAAGGGCCCTGTGGCGTCTACACTGCTCTACTCTAGACAGAGTTCCACTCAGCTTCAACAGGTGCCATTCATTGGGGTTTCCCCGGAGGGTACTTTAGTAGAGGATCCCACATGTCCCACACTGAGACAGCAGGAAAGGATTCCCAGAGCCATGGCTCTCAAGATGGGCACCCAAGGGGGAGAACCCAGCTCCCCTCCAGTCAGTAAGAATGTCCTGATAAATGTGGCCATGAGAAGATCATACTAGAAATCCAAGGACTCTAAGATGGCAACCTTCTCCCTTTGGTACCCTTCACCATTGTTAGCATCAAGTCGGAGAGGCGACTCTGGGACAGGGTGTGTAGATTTGCGTTGTTTAAACACGTTTACATGTGAGCTTCTGTGAGGGGTCTTTATCATCAGTACCTCAGTTCCAGTGGAGCTGGGGTTGTTCCCTCCCTCCAGCTCTCCTATCCTCCTTTCCGTCCTTCCCTTGGGGAGAGTGCCACGGTGGCATGGGGCAGAGATAGGGCAGGTGACCACCGCTTGCCTTGATGGAGAACTTCCCCAGGCTCACTGAGGCCTGTCTAAAGTGTCCTCTACACCTTCCCCTTGGGGACTTTTCTGTAATAATGTTCTGGTAGTCATGATAGAAACAAACAGACCAAACCACAGGCATGAAACATGAATTTCCACCTCAGAGAGCCCAGGCCTGCAGAAGCAAACCATCCGATGCGATGGGAATGGGATGGGGGTTTTCTGCTTGCCACTGTGGCCAGCATTTGGTGCCATCTCCCTGTGACATGAGAGGTGCCTGTCTCCTGCTCTGTGCCCTGCATCTGGAGTGCTAGGAAAGAGAAAAGGGTGTGAGGGAGAACAGATCCACCCTTCTCCTATGTGGGATCAGCTCTAAATTGGTGCTCATCACTAGTTACCAAAGAACAATGACAAAGTCAGCCGGGATATCCAAGAAGCATGGATTAGGACCAAACCCATCACTGTATTTAAAGGAACTTTAGTTTGCGCATCTTACAACATTTTTATAAAGTACTGTAATTCATGGGTGGGGCATGTGACAGAGACAGACTAACCCATGTTTGTCATTTGCATTAAAATTATTTTGGGTCTCTGTTTAAAGAATTCAGATAATGTTTGTGTATTGTGTGTTCATGGTCCTGGATGCAGAAGATGCCTCGTGCTCCCTTATACTCTCTGCCAAGGGCTGTGGGCCTGTGTGTACCCAGGCAAACAGGCTGACATTCTAGAATGTTCCCTGTGGGCTGAAGCTGGATGTGGACCCACTCTGCCCAAATGTAGACTCACTACACACAGCCACCCCTTCTCCCCCAGGAGCTCTCTCAGCAAGCCCACCTAAGCGGGGCTTGTCGCTTACCACACAGCAAGGCAGAATTTTGTCTCCCAAAAGCAGAGGTGGCAGGGAAGTGCCTTGGAAGCTGAGAGCTCAATGTTGCATCCTGTTTGGGGACAGGTGTGATTTCAGGGTGGTCTTACTTGGCTTTCTGTAACCCATGACTGTACATGAAGAACTGTACAACCAAATTCTCCAAAGCTACCTTGTCTATGAAGGTAGAGCCTAGGTCAAATTCTGGAGTGGCAGGGAGCCATGGGAGGTCCCATTGACACAGTGATGTGAGCCCTGCCTGGCTATACAGGCCTGCATCCCAGTACTCAGGAAGTTGTGTCAAGTTCAGGACCTTCCCGGGAAACTCGGTGAGACCCTCTGTAAAAGCAAAAGTCAGTAGAGGGCTGTAGCTCGGAGGCGAGGTCGTGCCTAGCATACAGGGCACTGGTTCAGGCCTTAGTACTGGGAGATGGGGGTAGTGTATAGATTTCATGGCAAGCAATCAGTGACTGATGGCTCATCACAGGATAAACTCCATCCATTTCCATCATGGGGTTGGCATAGTGGCTGCTTACACAGATGTTGGTGGTTGGGTGGATGTAGATGATGGAGCATTCTCTGGTGGTGGATGTAGATGACGGAGCACTCTCGGGATGATGGAGCACTCTCTGGTGGTGGATGTGGATGACAGAGCACTCTCAGGATGATGGAGCACTCTCTGGTGGTGGATGTGGATGATAGAGCACTCTCTGGTGGTGAATGTGGATGATGGAGCACTCTCTGGTGGTGGATGTGGATGACGGAGCACTTTCTGGTGGTGGATTGGATGACGGAGCACTCTCTGGTGGTGAAGGTGGATGATGGAGCACTCTCTGGTGGTTGATGCAGATGACAGGACACTCTCTGAAAACTCTTAAAGATCACATGAGATCCTTTCTCAAAAACAAAAATCTTAGTGCTCTTGGAGCAAAGAGCCCCATATGTCCTTCCTTTCTTCCAGAAAAGAAATGGGTTCTGGGAATCAAACTTAAATCCTGTGTTAGCAAGGCAAGCAAGTGCTTGGTCTACTGAGATGTAGCAACAGCTCAAGTTGAGGGATGTATTTGTTTTGTTTTGTTGATAAAGGATAAAGACAATCTGAACACAAAATTTAATACATTTTGGTGGAAGAGCCAGCAGTACCCACCACCCTCCCTAGTGGTGCTGGATAGCAACAACAGCAAAGACCATCCCACCCAAACCAATCCCACACCCAAACCCCCATCCCACCCATACCCACCCTTACCCACCCCTAGACCCCAATCCCCACCCAAACCCCCATCCCCACCCCTACACTCCCACCCCACCCTTACACCCCCACTCCCTACCCATATCTGCACCCCCACCCCAACTCACACCCAAACCCACACCCCCACCCCCACCTGCACCCACATCCACCTACACCCGCACCCCCACCCCCACCTGCACCCACACCCCCACCCCCATCGGGAAAATCTGCTGATGATGTTGTGGGAGTTCCTCCTCAGGTAAATCTGCTACCAACAGAACACAGCCTGAGCTGATTTCTCTTCATCTCAATGTAGTCATTATTAGCCCTGGGGTTTGGTTTCTTTTCCTCCCCTTACAGAGTACTGCTGCATTGAGATAGGTTTATAGTTGATAATTAGATACCAACTTAAAACTACCAACAGTGGCCCTACTCTCTCTAGGCTCCACATCCATGTGTCCTGGATTAAGTCACTCTCCAATAAAATAATATTTTGGGGTGTGTGTTTGTGTGCTGTATGTACTTGTCAGTGTAGGTGGGTACACCTGCACACGTGTGTGTGTGTGCTGTGTGTAGGCAGGTGCACCTGCACAGGTATGTGTGTGTGTGTGCTTTATGTAAGCGGGAGCATCTGCACATGTGTGTGTGTGCTGTATGTAGGTGGTTGCACCTGCACACATGTGTGTTTACGTGTATGTCCACAGGTGCATGGCAGTGTCTTTCCTGGATTATTCTCCTTTCCTTTATTTTTTTTATTACTTTGTTTTAAAGTTCATTAAGAATGCACACATACCTTGGGGCTGGAGAGGTGGCTGCTCTTCCAGAAGTCGCAGCAATCACAAGGTGGCTCACAGCCATCTATAATGAAATTGGGTTCCCTCTTCAGGCATGCAGGCAGGAAACTGTTTACATAAAAAAACATAGGCCTGGAGGGATGGCTCAACCATTAAAGGCTGGGCTCACAACCAAAAATAATAAATAATCTTTTAAAAAAAATGTATACTGCTCATATAGAGAACCCCAGTACAGTTCCCAGAATCTACATGGTAACTCAAAGCTGTCTAGCTCCAGTCCCAGGGGACCCAATGCCCTCTCCTGGTGTCCATGTGCATCAGGTACACAGTGGGTACTCAGACATACATACAGGCCAAAAAAAAAATGTTGCAAGGAACCACTTGTTCGTCCTGGCCACCCAGAACCAAAATAATCACACAGAAACTGTATTAATTAAATCACTGCTTGGCCCATTAGCTCTAGCTTCTAATTGGCTAACTCTTACATCTTAATTTAACCCATTTCTAGTAATCTGTATATCACCACAAGGTTGTGGCCTACCAGCAAAGTTTCAGCATGTCTACCTCCAGCTGAGGATCCATGGCGTCTCTCTGACTCTGCCTTCCTTCTCCCAGCATTCAGTCCAGTTTTTCCCCATCTACCTAAGCTCTGCCTTATCAACAGGCCAAGGCAGTTTCTTTATTCATTAACCAATAAAAACAACACATAGACAGAAGGACCTCCCACACCATATGTATTAAAAAAATTAAAAAGTGCTCTAGATACAAGTGTGCTTGGTTTCATAGACACACACACAACAGTTTTCTTCAAGGGATGTGAGCATCCATGCATTTGGCTCTTTGAGTCTGACCTCCGTCCTTCAGTCCCCTGGCTTCTTGGTCCCAGCAAGGTAGGCTATGCATCTGGGCATTTGGGTCTGTGTGATTGGCTTGTTGGGCCTTATCAGACAAGAGAAGGCCCTGTTTTTGGTGCAAACATCTTTGAGGTCTTTTGAAGTGGGCACGCTGTAAAGAGTGTTTTGTGCATTTTTCTTGGATGAGTTTTCCTAGCAGGTGCTTCACGCTGTCCCTGTGGACAGAGTTCTTGGCCTCAGCACGATATTGAGGTGGAGAATTCTCCAGTGTGGGCTGTGCTAGGCACCGTCATACTTCTCCCAGCAGCTTTGGCTTCCAGGATGACCACAGAACATTCTCCCATGCCCCTGTGTCACAAAACCATCTTCAGACATTGCTAAATGTCCCCTTTGAGGAGCTGGGTACCATTGTCCTGGATGGCCTTCTGCAATAAGGTTTGATATAAACCAGGAAACAGTAATCAAAGATCTCGTTTTTTTTAAATTTTTAATTTAATTTAGTGTGCGTGTGTGGGTGCTCACACATGTATGTGTGTGTGTGTGTGTGTGTGTGTGTGTGTGTGTGTGTGTGTGTGCGTGTGTATGTGTGTTTGGGTTTTCTGAAACAGGTTTTCTCTGTGTAACCTTGGCTATCCTGGAACTTGTTCTGTAGACCAGGCTGGCCTCGAACTCACAGAGATTTGCCTGTCTCTGCCTCATGTGTGTATTTTTACTTGTGTGTTAGTCCCTGCAGAGCACAGAAGAAGGTGTTGGATCTCTTGGGCCTGGAGTTATAGGATTGTGAGCTGCCTGACGTGCGTTCTGGAAACTGAGCTCAGGTCCTTTGTAAAAGCCCTAACTGCTGAGCTGTCTCCCTGCCTTGGACCACGTTTCTTTACTCACATATCTATTGATGTTGATGCCATGTTGTTCATGGGAGACCATGGACAGAGGATTGCATCTAACAGGCTTCCTGGAGGCAGCAGTTGTCCACCATCAACAGATGAGTAGAACAGGGGAGTTGTGGAGTGGGTGGGTGGACAGACGCTGGCACCAGGGCCCTGCCTCTGGGATAAAAGAGTACAGAGGACCCTCCATCAGGATCTGCAGCTGCCTCCAGACCTGTAGACAACTCACAATGGCCTCCACACCTCAGAGAGGCCTGGCTGCAGCTGCATCCATGCCTGATTGTAAGTTGACGGTAAGTTGATCCCTCTGCCTCCACATGCCAGTCAGCCTGCCCTCTTGTTTACTGGGAGGCAGCGGACAAACAGCGGGCAAGGCAGTGGGCAAGGCAGTGACTCCAGCAGCGCCTTTCCTGGGCAGGTTCCTCCCGCCCCATCTCTGTGCTCAGAAGAACTCCAAATTTGCCAGCTGAAAACAAGTCCTGGGGACACCCTGTCTGGACATGGAGAAGATGCAGATCCTTGGGCCAAATCCCAGGCTTGTTATTATGGGAGCCTTGGGGCTGGGACCCCAGAGTCCGCTGCCTTACCATGCCTTCCTGAAGGCATGCTGCTGGAGTCAAAGCTCTGCTCAAATTAAGGGAGTAGTTAGGAACCAGGGTACCTGAACTTGCCTCCTTCTCAGTCACGTCTCTTCTTTTCCTCTCTGAAGATGACAGATTGTGCCCTAAGGTGATGGGAATAAATATGTGCATGTGTACACATACACACAGATACGTGACATGGGGCAGAAGAAGGAGTATATCAGGGAAAAAGGGACACAGAGGGGCGAGACAGGAAAGTAATGTGGGGACATAGAGGGGCAGGACAAAAGAGCAATGTGGGAAGGAAGGGAAATAGAGGGGCGGGACAGGAAAGTAACATGGGGAGGAAGAGGAAATAGAGGGGCGGGACAGAGAGAGCAATGTGGGAAAGAAG